TTTCACTTCTACCTGAAATTTGTGCTGATGATTACGTTCAAAAGATCAATAAAAGCTACACGACTAAATCATTTAGCCCAAAGAACAAAACTCCACCCAAGTAATCTACTCAGAACGTATATATTACCAATAAACACTAGTCAATTTCAGGCCTTAACAGCAACAAAGATAAAAGAAATGAAGCCTTACAAATGTAAACAAAACTAAATTACATTTCATAATTAAATATAACAAACCATAATTGTGAAAAATACAAAACGATATGTAAATTACATTCTTCATTTGTGATTAAAACAACTGGCTATTGTATTATCCTAAAGTTTCAAAGAAAATAATAATATTATATAAAATAAATCAAATATTGAGAATTATACTAAACAATTATCTTACATCTATTGTTCCTAAGGAATTCCATAACGTTTTATTATTATTATTATTATTTAACCAAAGTTATTTAGATTCCATATTCACTTAATTATTTTCAATAATATTTTTTCTTTAAAAATCACTTCTCTAATTACACGCCCACACATATAAATGAGTATACTCGTTAATTGAAAAGTAGTCGATACAATTGACCAATCATATTCTTTTAAAAATGTATTTGTAAATTATTATGTAATTAATTACCCAGTTAATGAATTAATAATTTAATATTCATATTTACTGCTTGTTTACTATTGAATCTACTAATTTTAACGTTTTGTAATTAATGATAAGAAATTGTTTCAATAATTATTTCACTGCTTGAAATCATGAGTCAATTGAAGCCAGACCACCATGGAAAACCTTGAAGCACTGGACAGCCGTTTCGTCCTAGTATGAGACTCCTCAGCAGTGTGCATCCATGATCCCGCACCCCATGAGATTCGAACCTATTTGCTCACTAGTGACTGACTTCAGGAGATACTCCTGAAGTTCCAGTGAGAAACCATTACCAGTGGAGTTTAATCGGGTCTGTTGTGAGATATCAACTCACTGAAGACAATGGTTTACAGTGGCGCAACTTCTAGGATTGGTTGAAGTTGGACATTAACACCGTTGGATGTCTGCCAGCTCAGTGGTTTGGAGGTAAGGCGTCCGTGCAGAAGACCGATATGTTCTGGGTTTGAATCTCGCGAGGTGGGATCGTGGAGGTGCACTATTGAGGAAATTCACAATAAAAAGAAACAGCCATTCAGTGATTCCAGGCTTTCCATGCTGGTCTAGCTTATACTGACTCATGAATTCAACTATAGAATTCAAATTGTAATAAAACTCATACCCATTGCAAAAAAGAATGCTATCTGAACTCAGTAGCTAAGTGAATAACGCGATGGCGTCGAAAGCGAACGGTATGGTGTTAGATTCCTGGAGTAAACATCAACTATGGAATCCAAGCACATAAGCTGATGAATCCTAAGTAGAATGAAATACAGGTCCTGGGTTCTATTTCTAACCACATTCCATCGTTTCTAAATCCAGAACCAATTTGCTCCTATATTGAAATTGATCATAAAAATGTACTCATGACTTCTACGGAAACCAAAACTATGTAATCCTTTTCCTCACAGTCAGAATTATCAGAGTTATGAAAGGATTTGTGAGTTTTATTTAAAGCTCTTCAAAACTAGATATGAAATAAATAAATACATCAATATAAAGCCATACTTATTAGTACACCCTAATTCAAAATGTTATAGTACATTACAGCAGAAAAAGATATAATTTCTACAAGTTGAAGAATACATAATTAAAATAAGATCGACACTTATAGCTAAAAGAGTGAAGTAAAATAAAATAATGAAATATCCAAGATTTAATTCCGTAAGTCACATTTTACTATAACTTTCAGGAATCTTACGCAATACTAATTACTAATAACCATACAGTTACTAAGTGTACGGTTCTATGAAGAAAATTTTAAGACGACATTTACCATCTGATGTTAATTTCTGATATAAAAAAAATTGTCGTCAATGCAAATGATGTACACTAAAATATCTCATTTTATTTACTATAAAACTGATTCACCACATTATTTCATACTTGAGGGTGAATACAACTTTAATTGTTATTAAGCACAGAAATCGAACCATACCTTTTCCTCAGATAGCCCCATATATCCTTACGCAAATCCTGCAGGTTTATGAAAAGAATTAGTAGTCTTTCATTATTTTACCAATTTATGAAATCTGTATGATTTTGAGATGGTGGAAAAGATTAATAGTTTAATTAGATGATTTTAATGGAGGTTTTATCTTTGAACCAGATGGTTTAATTATATAGCTTTCGTTGTCCTTTAAAACAACATTATCAGCACGAGCTTCAAATAGAAGTGAACTAGTCGAATTTCTCTACTGAATGCTTCATGATCAAATCATGCAGCTTAAAGAAGAAACTTCCACCAAAATGAAACGTATGTAAATCTATCAGGGTAGATTGATTGATTAATTATTTTTCAAACTAGTTTGTTTTGGATGAGCGATAAGTTTCACATCAATCAATGTATTTCCTTCAATGTAAAAGCGTTCTATAAGATAGAGAAGTGAACATTTTAATTATTTTTTAACGTAATCGTTCTGTAAATGATTTAATATGTTTTATAATAATTAGGGAAAAAGTTTGATCCCTTAATAGTTATTTTGTCTAGTTTGTACCTCGAATTCAAAGAAACACATATTCATTGCAAAATCAAAAGCACAAATATGATATGTCTTGATTTTTGATGAAAGATAACTCGAAGGCTTGTAATACATAAACAGTTATTTTATTTGATCATATAATTACAATTCTTCGTCTATAGAAAAGTTCGTTCGTTAAGCCTACAGTATAGTAATTAATTAGTAAGAGTCCAAATAAGAAAACAAGTGTTTTGTAAGGTTAGGGTTAGAGGTAATTGACTGGAAACCCTAGACATCGGTTTCGTAACAGTTGGCACTTGTTAGTAAGGTGAACCTGTAATCTTGAATAAACCGCTGCTCCCTGGTACATACGATGTCATTTCATCCAGCTTCATAGTTTTAGACGTTACTATTGAGCTATCTATGCCTCAACTTTCCTTTTAATAGGACTAAGATGCACCTACGACTGACTGATTGCTGAGTGGTGACGTACGTCATGTTTCTCGATTCCTTTTTAGTGCCAATCGAATTCTATCAATTAGGCGTTTCATAAAAATTATTATAAACTAGTTAGAAAATAAGAATAAATCTGTAACAAACCCGTTGATAAATATAACTCTCACTTATCAAAAAGAAGTGACTTTGGAATCCTTTAAAAAATCATACTTTTCGAATTACATACTCAATAGATCATTTCGTAACAGACATTTTTAAGTACATTCAATTTGTTAACATAAAACCAGGAAAACATTAGCGTCACTTAAAAGGGAACATTGACAATTATTTATTAAGTTTACTTACTAGGTAATAAAATCCCTGTTTTATAATTGTTAGAAAAATTAATATTAATTATTCTAACTTGTATTGTTTAATCATAAGATAAAAAATTTAAACAAAACAAACACTAGAAAATAGATGAACTGAGTCAAGGAATGGAATCCAGAACAAACGTTTCGTTTTACTTCGGACTCTTCGGCTGAATAGATGTGCATCCTACTATTGATATTGACATCGAGACTAGAACACAATACCTTTTGCTTTAAAAAACTAACATGTTACTCATTGTGCTACTGAGTTTAGATAGTCACTAGCTTCTTCAACAAATAAAATATATTTAAAGATGCCATAAGTATTCGGAGCTTGACAACGCCTTGATCAGGAACACCTTTATAATCCCAATCAAGTCTGAAGTCAGAAATGAAAGAGTTCGAACATATATTTGCAAGGCTATTGGTGTATCGAAGGAATGTGTTTGTCTAAGCTGGCTTGTAGTTGAAAGGGATGTGTAGTATAGCGTACCCATTCATGATCTGATGCGGATGTGTGAACAAGAGCCTTCAGTTAGGTGAGTCCAGTAAAACTATAGTGGTCAGCATCAAATATCAAAGAATTAAAGAGTTATTGATTTTGGGGATTTATTTACGGCTACATGTTTATCATAATAATGATATAAACCAAAAATTAGTTATTCGCAAAAACTATTTATTAGTTCTAAAAAATATACATTCTAGTAATGGGATTTACACCGAAAATATCACTTTTGAGTTGTTATATATATAAAAAGTGCTATATTTTCACTTAGAATCAATTACTTTAGGTTTAATACATACACGTTATCGACGATTCAGAAAACTTGATTGATTTCAGAAACCCTATTTATTATTAGAAACAACCATATATACATATACTACTTGGGCTCTTGTCAAAATGATGATTTAAAATCTTTCTGCTTAATTTAAAAACAATCTTAATACAATGCATAATACCAACTGCTTCAAACTACTAATCATAACCAATGGTATCAATAATAATGTATGATATATAGTCGAAAGTGTCAAAGAGTACAACTGTATTGAGAACCATTGATGGCAACATTCTCTAAAGTTATGTTATTCATCTTCACCAACATTTTAGATTGTAAGCAGTTGATAAGAATCTAAAAAAAATAAAATAAATTCATATTATTCTGTACTAATCTTTGTATTGGCTCTCTTTAAGATAATAAAGGGAACTATGCGTATGAAATAAATTACAATAAGTTTAATACATACAATTTATTGACGATTCAGAAAACTGGATTGGTTTTAGTAGCCCTATTTATTATTAGAAACAATCATATATACATTTAATGTTTGAGTTCTTGTCAAAATGATGATTTAAATACGACACATCATACTGACTAATTCTAGTATGAGTGATAACCTTGAAGCTTCAAATTATCAATCATAACTAATGATATCAATATTCAATAGTCAATAACTAGTTGAAAGTATAAAACTTAATAAAAGAGTACAATTCATATTTTAGAATCATTGATAGCAATATTCTTTAAATCTAAATATTCATTTTTCATTAAATTAAAATAATGAAATATAAAAGTTATTCATGATAACAAACCTTTTATCTGTAAACGATTACAATATACAGTATCATTTACTAATTCATTATAATTATTCAATTTAATAAAACAATCATTATCTTCTACTCTTTCATGATTATTCTGTTTAGAATCATTGAATAAATAGAATTCATTAGGTTTTATATGATATTTCATTCTATTTTCATATTCTTTAATGAATTCCGATTTAATAGATAAATCTTTAATTTCATTTATTGAATTATTATTAATTAAATTATTAGAATTGATTATATTTAATGAATAATTTGATAATGAATTATATTCATTATTTAAATGATTTTGATTATATAATTCATCTTGTTGATATAATTGATTGTAACTATGTAATTTCGATGAATTAGTATAAGTATCAGTGAATTTTTTTGTTAAAACATTATTGATTACTGATGTTAATGATAAAAAATAATCTGTTGAAATTGTAGAAGTGAATTGATTTTTAGCCGTATCCGTAGGAATATTCAATAAAGATTGTTCTTTATTTGATAGTAATGAAGTTCTCATTAGATAATCACTGTTATTAATGAAATCCTTACTTATATTAATATTATTATTATTATTATTATTTTCAAACATACTTGTTACTGATGAGAATGCAGATTGTGGTTTATGATCATTAATAATGCTATTTATATTATTAATATTATCATTACTATTGGAAGGTGAATTACAAGACTTTTTCAATATACTATTTTCATTTTGAATTAGATTTGTTAAACAAACAGTTGTTGAAGTGAGTGGAGTATGACATCTTGAAGTATGAATAAATGAAGTATATTTATCTATTGGATAGTTTATTTGTTGAGGTGATTGATATGAATAATTCTGTAGAACAGATTGATCTTTATTAATAGAAGTTGAATTGAAATGTTTTCTTGGATCATATAAATATTTTTTATTTGTATTTAATTCAGGTAATGATGATATAGAAGTATTTAGTGAGATTGTTTTTAGATAATCATAAATATGAGGGGAATATAAATTATTAAACCACATCAGTGGACTATTAGAATCATTATTACTGTTAATGATATTAGTTGGCTTATTAGCCCGAATTTTATGGTCGTTTCTTAGAATTGGAGATGATTGGGTTGAATTGGATGCCAATGTGTGCTTTGGTTTAAATGATCCCAACATATTTAAACAATTATTATGTTTTGTCATGTAATTGAGCATTCCTGATTTTAAAAAACACATCTTATTTCTAATTCCTTGAGTATGATGCAATCCTCTTCCTCGACCAACGCCACCACCACCTCGAGTACCACAACAGTTTCTTTTATTCACTGTTGATGGAAAACGTGAGATTTTAGGAGGTAGTTCAACTCTTATTGGTTCATCAACTGCTGGATCAGCAACCGGAACGTCACCCTCATGTTTTTCTCCACCATAAAAATGACCACTGCATACTCGTAGCTGAATGAATAATGCAAATTATCAATAAATATGAAACATTATTAATTACTGACTATGAAAGACGTAAATCCAGTGATAAATTAATCTTACTCATTTGACATTAACTGAGATCGACACTTTTACACAATTTTTCAATCTTATTAGCTATGGTCTATACAAATAACAGGACCATACTTTCTGAGATAATAAAAAATTCTTTATACTATTTTATTTCTAGTTAATAATAAGTTTCAAATCGGGACTATGCAGCAACTTTTTACTTCATAATGTTCATTAATACTCCAGCTAGTGTAAGTTTACAAGTAAAACATCCTTTTAATTAATAAAATCTTCAGAGATATCTATAATAAATATATATATTGATCATTTCTACTGACCATTATTAAACGTGTATAATAATAGTTAACGACTAAAACTCAACGCACATTATGTCTGCAATGATTTTATTAGTATTATACTCTTAATGTAAAGATAACTGTGATTAGACTTATTTCTAATGAAGAAATTAAACTAATATATCATTACCCAACCAGAAAAAATCAATCATTTCAATAACTAACCTGGCTAACAATTGTTTCTTCAGTTCTACCTATTGCTTCTAGCCATTTCTTTCGTAATATTGCAGGTTTCTTTGGTACACGATAAAAATGTCGATTATCTTCAGCACCACGATAACGTGAACGAAATCGACAATTAGGAAATCCACAAGTTGTTGGCATTCTTATAAATTATCAAAATCTATCTAAACAATAAGGAGTTTTTTTTAATTTTTTGTATTAAATGTAATAAGCATTATTTATACAAAATTATTCCGTTAATTTTTATGAATAACTTCAATTGAAGCTAGACCATCATGGAAAACCCGGAAGCTTCTAGGTTACTAAAATCTCCACAAAACCCCTTCTGTCAATAATATTTGTAAATTAATTATCAGTTCCATGCATATAGTCACTATGTAAATGCTGTATGTTTACATAGATGCTTTAATTGTCAAAACAGTACTTATCATTAAAGAGGAAGAATGTATTTGTAAAATCTCAGTGAAAGAATTTGAAGTAAATTCAACATTTCGTCTGGCAAACTGATCCAAGCTTTTCCAAGGAAATATCAAATACTGTGAGTATTTATAATTGTTTATCTCAAGGCATGTAATCATGTATTTCATATTTATTTTTAATCAGTATTCATTTGAAAGACGTTTTGAATTTCTTCAATCTATTGGCATACACATTGTAATGCAGAATTATCATAAGTTTTTTTCAAAGATGAAATTGATTTTAATATTGTTAATATCCTACTAATAAAAATAATATGTCCAAAATATCTGGGAATAGATTTCGCTGAAAATAAGTAGTATTCACTAACAATATTCAGTAATAAATGGTTAAATAATATAGAAAGTTCCCATGTGGTAAAAGTATATTCATTATCACGTCTATTACGTAATCTATATTAACTACATTTAGTGTTAAATGTTATGTAAGATAATTTCATAGTCAATAATAAAATATTTCATTTAAATATGTTAACTACTCATATAATAACAACAGATTGATCTACAGTGATAAATGAAAACTATTTGTTCGAAACCACTTGTCATCAAGTTTCTCTTACTAATCACTTCTAATATTTAGATTGAAAAGGTTTAAAAATAAAGCTTATAAAGCAATATATATCATGAAGTTGAGTGACAAAATTAAAAACATGGATACATCTAGATAAGTGTATCAAGTAGGTACTTTCGATGTATTTAATCATATTCGTCATAAACAAAGTATACTGATACTATAGAAAGTCTGTGGAGATTGTTGAGACTTCCTTGATTATATCTAATTTAGATAACCATTAAAACTAGGAAGTACCGAACAGATGTTTCGCCTTAGCATAAACTCCTTACTAGTGAGCATCCACGACCCCAATAAAGATCTAACCAGGGAAATTTAGTCTATAGTGACAACTCTTTATCTCCAAGAATAAATCATGGTCAATGTATTTCAATCATCTTGGATGTGTGGCAATTACTTACCGTGAGTAATCGAGGATGGTCGTCTAATATTACAACTTGACTGAAGTCAAATATGTAAACCATTGAATACCAGCTCAGTGGTTTGGAGGTTAAGCGCTCGTCAGCAAGACCGCCGATCCTATGTTCAATCCCTGATGGGTTTATGGATGGTTATTGCTGAAAATTCTCACACTATGACGAGGCAGCACTCTTGTGCCCCAAGTTTTTCAACGATTAGCTAACGAAGATCATTTCAACATGTTAACTATTAAGAAATGTTATCAAAACCTAAATTCCACTATTTACAAATCAAAATTAAAAACATCAGAATAATATAAAACTCACAAATTTTTAACTATAGAATCTATTCCAAATTATCTGATTAATTAATGAACAAGTGATGATATATTTATTTAAAACTGGTGTTCATTTATTTGAGAATATATTATAGAGAATTAAAACATTTATTTACACCCCTTTTGCAATTAGTTTTCCTACCCTTCATCACTGGAAACATTAAATTATTCAGAAGCACCAAAACTCAGGCAGATAATTTAAACTTCTTTTCATTTATTTTCCACCACACCACCAGTTTATCTCAGCCTTAATACCATATTTATGTTGGTACACATCTGCTCACTAATCTGGACATCTATTTTGGACTTGAATGTGATGGGGGGGGAACTTGTGTAACCTGATTTATTAATGATTTACTCAAATCCCACATGTATGCATCATAATACATAAAGATGGCTCAACAACCAGTCTTCATTTTAACTACGTTTAAAAATATGAAGTCAGCTTATAATAGATTCATCTTTTCGGCAGATATATATGTGTGTGAATGCATTTGTGAAGTCACATATTCTATCTTATTTAACCATTGGGTTTTCCTGAGTTTTCAAAGGTTAGAAAATATATATGAGGCAAAATGTGAAAGAAAAATTAAGTCCGTTGAAGACAAATATGGAAGAGGTAAATAGTGACAGACACCATAATGGGCAAACAAAAAGTGGCAACGAGTAGAAAATTGGTAGATATATTTGGTTGGTTGTTTAACTAGCAAAGGATAAAGGGAGAGAAAGATAATAGATGTATCCAACTTCCAAATTAACATTTTTCTGATTGTTAGTTACCTGCAGTAGTAGTAAGTCTACATTTTCCACCAATTCCAATCTGGACCATAGAAAAATAGAGTAAGAATCAATCGTACACCCATACAAATATATATATGTGATTTAGGAGTGAATCTAAGCTAGTGGACATGAAAAAAACTTACCGGGCTGTAAGTTTGACTAAAATTGAACAAGTCTAGTAAGAGTGACTTTTTTTAGGCGAACTGATGTAACCAAACATTTCAACCATTATTGGAAAATTATTTTCTACCTCCGCCCAATATTTTAGGAAAGGGGAGTTTTGGAAGAAAAAATATGCCAGTTATTTGATTTTCTCTATGGAGTGGTGACAGGGAGTGAATGCAAACGATCAATATGTCTTTAAGATAATAATTATTGTATATTGTTCAAAACAATATTTCATCAAATGAATTATTTTTCATGTAAAAGAATAACTAAAAACGATAAATTTTTCTAGAAAAAAAAAGAAACAAGTCTTAAGTGATTTCCTACTTTATTATATGAAATATTCAGTAGCTTATTCAGGTATTTACCATTTCATTGCTGAGGAGTCCCACAATAGGACGAAACGGCCGACCAGTGCTTCCAGGTTTTCCATGGTGGTCTACCTTCAATTGACTCATGATCTCAACTGTTGAAATTGTTTCATTTTTATATGATAAACCAGTTTTTAACAATGAAGTTATTCATAGCTTTTTGAATGTTCATTGCTTCAGTTGTATTCATTACTTACATTCAATTGATTTTCTATTTGTATTTTAAGTGAATGATGCCTATTGGAATGTGTAATTGGAGAGTTATTGCAAATTCAGGGTAGTATGGCCTATCATGATTGATAAAAATCATGAATACAATTAAAGTTAGAGGACAGATTGAAAACGTAAGTGTCTAGAACTCACAAAAATTGAATTAATGAAACGATCTCACTTTCAAGTTAACAGATGCTTAAAGACAGATTTTGGGTAGTGAAAAGATTTACTAGTTGTTCCCTTGTATGTATTTTTAGTAGTAACACCGTTTATGAAAATGCTTTCACACCATCTCTATGAGAGAATTATTCTAATTTTATTAGGATAATACACTTAACGATAGAATATAAATATAAATATGTTTCGTTTCAAGTATTATCTTGCTTATTGCATTTAGTCAGTGAGTTAGCACTGTAGTTCTATCACTGATTTTCAATTTGACAGGAACAGTAATCATTATTTAGTGATTTTCTAATAAAAAACCACCATGTGATGAATAATAACCTATTTGAGTTAAATAGTTTAACATTTTCTTAGGGAAATCATTTACCATAAGTGGACATGGTTATTACTTCATGTCATTAGGTTTACTGTGTTTTGGAGCTTAAATAATGAATAGAAATTGACTTTATAGTTATCCTGTATATCTTTATCCCGAACAGCTTAAGTATTAACTTGGTCACTTTTAAAAGTATTATCGATTTAAATAAATCAAATTACTCTGTCTCTATAATGAATCAATTCAAAATCATTGAAGTGATTTTAGATGGTATTAACTGACCGAGTTTGGATCGACTCATGAATTCAACTATTAAAATTACTACAATCTCCACAAATCCCAATTCTGGTAATAATCATGTGCTCACTAGTGACTAGCTTCAAGACAAATTTCCTAATATTCCAGTAAAAAAGCAGTGACCAGTAGAGTCCAATCAGTGTCCGGTGGAGACTGTTATCCACCTCAGACAATGGATGAAGGGTTGCTCAAGTCCATAGATTGATTGAAGTTAGACATTAACACTGTTGGATGCCGGCTCAGTGGTCTACAAGTTAAGTGTTGGTGAGCGAGACCCAAGGTCCTGAGTTCGAGTCCCACGTGCAGGATCGTGGGTGCACACTACCGAGGAGTCCTATGATAGGATGAAACGGCCATCCAGTGCTTCCAAGTTTCCAATGGTGGTCTAACTTTGGTCGACTCATGACCTCAACTATTAAAATTACTACAATCGCCACAAATCCCCATTCTCCATAAATTGTGCGATTACCTATTAAAATTTGACATTTTGTCTACCTGAAGTCAGTTTGTGATCTAAAACTACGAATCTCATATCACTCAATAAAGTGCTGGTAATACACAACTTTTTGCTATGAAGTTGAATTTTATAGTTAACATTATGAACCGATCTTTGTTAAGCAACTATTGAAAACCAGACAGCACTGGATATCTGTTGAGTCCCGGTTTGGGACTCTTCGGTAATGGTCATCCGCGACCTCACCAGAGATCAAACTCAGTACCGCCTCCCTCTAAGTGGGCGTTCATACCTGTCCAGTGGATTTCAACTATGTCGGATATGGAGCAGATACCTACCGAGGACATCAGCTGATAGTTGCGCGAGATCGCGGATCAATTAGAATTAGATATGTAAGCCATCGGATCCCAGCTCAGTTGTCTGGAGTCTAACTACTCGCAACGAGATCAGAATACCACCGGTTCGACCCATTGTAGGGTCATGAATGAAGAATGCTGAGTGGTGTCACACAAAGAAGAAGTAGTTGTTCAGTGCTCCAGGATTTTGACCAGCTATGTAAAGTCATTTCTTGATGTTGAC